CTCATTTTAGAAAGTGTTCATACGTACAGAATGCTCTTGCATATCAACTAAGAAATATAAACCCTTGTCATGATCGGGAATAAACAGAAAACCGTAGACATATTAAGCGTATAAACAATAGTCTTCAAGTAGTATGAAAAACGTAATTCAGCATTTCACTTGCTTACAAAGCCATTGTATCTACCATAGAACTTGCTAAATGATTACTGTCAAAGGAGGTTGTTGATACTCTTGTTTCGACATTTTTTGTCAATAACTTACCTCATTTAGAAATTGTTCATACGTAGAGCATGCTCTTGCGTATGGAATAAACCTCGTATGCCTGTAATAAAGGTTTATCGCTGCATAAGTAAGAAAATTTGACTATTGAAAAGTGAGACATAACTGCTATCATAAAGCATTGTTAGATTACAGTTAAGTATTTTTTCTAGTCAAATATCCATATATGAATTAGATGTGCCAAACTCAGTGTCACTTTCATTTCAAGCTCAGTTAGGATATATCATGTCGACACATTAATAGAAATAACAATTGTTAAGTAATTTTTGCTCGTTGATATATCTAAATATCGAGTAAATGTTAATGGAGGAGACTTCCACTTAAAATTAAGACATCTTCAGTCAGTGTTTCATTGGAATATCAAATCCTTCAAGTCTTACGACGCCCAAAAGTTTTCAGAGCAGATTTGATCACGTAAAGACTTCCTGTCATATCCCAGTGATACTCCACTTCCTTTTTAGCTCTACTGGTCAGAGACCAGAAGAGCTTATGCGATAGTAAGGTGTCCGTCGTCCGTCCGTCTGTCTGTCTGTCAGTCTGTAAACAATTTTTCAAAACGCTACTCCTCCTACAGTTTTGGTCTAATTTCAATATAACTTGGCACACAAGTAGACACACTAAGATACATAAAATAGTATCGGTTTTTGATTTCGATGAACGGTGTTGCTATGGTTACTAAAAATAGAATTTTCTTTGAAATTCCTTTAAAACGCTACTCCTCCTACAGTTTTGGTCTGAAATATTACTTGGCACACAAGTAGACTACACTAAGATACATAAAATAGTGCATCGGTTTTTGATTTCGATGAAGGGTGTTGCCATGGTTACTAAAAATAGAATTTTCTTTGAAATTTCTTTAAAACGCTACTCCTCCTACAGTTTTGATTTGATTTCCATATTACTTGGCACACAAGTAGACTACACTAAGATACATAAAATAGTGCATCGGTTTTTGATTTCGATGAACGGTGTTGCCATGGTTACTAAAAATAGAATTTTCTTTGAAATTCCTTTAAAATGCTATACAGTTTTGATTTGATTTCAATATTACTTGGCACACAAGTAGACTATACTAAGATACATTAAATAGTGCATTGGTTTTTGATTTCGATGAACAGTGTTGCCATGGTTACTAACAATAGAATTTTCTTTGAAATTCCTTTAAAATGCTACTCCTCCTACAGTTTTGATTTGATTTCAATATTACCTGGCACACAAGTAGACTATATAAGATACATTAAATGGTGCATCGGTTTTTGATTTCGTTGAACGGTGTTGCCATGGTTACTAAAAATAGAATTTTCTTTGAAATTCCTTTAAAATGCTCCTCCTTTTACAGTTTTGGTCTGATTTCAATATTACGTAACACACAAGTAGACTACACTAAGATACATAAAATAGTGCATTTGTTTTTTATTTTGATGAACGGTGTTGCCATGGTTGCTGAAAATAGAATTTTCTTTGAAATTTCTTTAAAACGCTACTCCTCCTACAGTTTTGATTTGATTTCAATATTACTTGGCACACAAGTAGACTATACTAAGATATATAAAATAGTGCATTGGATTTTACTTTCGATGAACGATGTTGCCATGGTTACTCAAAATTGAATTTTCTTTGAAATTCCTTTAAAACGCTAGTCATCCTACAGTTTTGGTCTGATGGCAATGGCTTCTTTTCTCATCCTTTGTTATAAGTACAAACCAGTAGAGCTACAGTCTCGACAGAGACTTCTGGTTAATATATTTATGTATTTATTTTGTTTTCATGCACGTGGTATCAAGGGTACCAGATCCCAAAACTGTGACATTACGTATTATGATTTACAGGGAAGTGAATAAAAATGAAAGGGATTAAATGTTTTTCTTCTACAAAATATCACTTTAGGCAATATAAGAGTTCACATGTACCTTTTGGTGATTTGGACTTCTGGGGTCGTAAAGACCATGATCTGAACTGAACTCTTAGTTCAATTTCAGTAATGGTTTAAGTAATCTCGGAGTTCGTCTTGTAGGGCAAAGATCACATTATGGTAGGTTTACTTGATAAGGTTGAATGATACATCAAACAGTTTATCCTCGGGTTGAAATCTTTGCTTTTCCCATGATAGCAGATTGTGTTTGATTGGCGGGAATCCTGTTGATGTCGGAGTGCGTCAGGCTTGATTGAGCACCAAAATCACTCCTGACCTACAAAACAATACTGAACTGATAATAGGTCATTCAGTTCAAAAGCCCTTGATACTTTGAAGTACAACCAAAAATTTTCACGTACGTATATATCTTACGATTATTTTACTGGTTATGATTTGTTAAAATCATTTTTTCAGCTTAACATTTGGTTTGAAGTCGGACCTTTTAGAGCAGACCGGATGTGACTTTTTCGAAAAATGAAGTTTTCAAAATACCATTTGAGACTAATTTTGTATTATGATTCACATGTAACGAAAGCAGAAGATATGAAGCATGTATAAATAAAATACATTGTTAAATAAGTTAAAGTAGTAATTACGGATGAATCGACTAACATGTAAAATTTAACAAACAGCAATCCAACAGACGACTAGAACAACCATAAAAGAAAATAATTAACATGATAATTAAGTCTATGGTTTTATTTCATTTTTTTCTGAAATATTCTTAGATGAAACTTACTATAAAAGAAATAAATCTTGCGATAGAATCAAGTGGAATATTAAAATGAAATAAGAGCACCAGAGCACAGCTGTTTTTGTTTTAATTCAACAATTACTAGAATCTACTTCCTCATTACAAAAAAAATGCAATATAATTGGTTCCAGACAGTTAAAATTTTAGTGTGAACAATATAATTATGCACTTTGCACTTTTTTTAGTTTTCTTAATTTCTTGAACATTAATTTTATACTTAAGTTTGAAATTGTAAAAGATAAATTAACATAAAGCTATGGCAAGCCCTTTTACTATTTATTCGTGAAATAAAAATTTTCTTTTAATAAGAGATATCTCTCTAGCATAGAGAGATATCTCTTTAGCTTATAGAGATATCTCTTTGACTAAAAGAGATATCTTTATACCTTAGAGAGATATCTCTTTAAACAAAAGAGATATCTCTTTTTGTAAGAGAGATATCTCTTTTACTTAGAGTTATCTTTATAAGCTAGAGAGATATCTCTTTAAGCGAGAGAGATATCTCTTAAAAATAGAGAGATATCTCTATAACAAGGTTAAAAGAGATATCTTTCTTAGTTAGAGAGATATCTCATTAGATTTTCAAAACGAGATATCTTTATAAGCTAAAGAGATATCTCTTTTAATGAAAGAGATATCTCTTTTCCAGTGATGCTTAAAATAGAATAATTAATTCTCCACTTTAAAACGAAAGCGAAACAGGAAGTAAAGTCTCTGGAATAGTTTCGATGTTATAAGAAAAAAGACTGAGCAATTAGCAAATACCCAGAATAATACTTGTACTGTAGACAAAAATGCTATAAATCCTTTACTTGAAACAACAAATAATAATGGTAACTTTGTTGATAAAAATGCTAATATTCAGGAAACGAAAGTAAGCATATATATAATCTCAAATGCAATGGACTGAATTTTCTCAGCTTATGAAATGATCAACTATTTCTAATTTGAGTATTTCCGTCAATAAAAAAGCTTACTTCAAGTAAAGGGAGAATTCATTTGAAATGGAATTTAAATTAAAAAATATGAAGAGAGATATCTCTTTGCAACAAAGAGATATCTCTTTTTGCTTGAGAGATATCTCTTTTAGACACTTTTGAAAGATATCTCTTTCACTTTAAGAGATATCTCTTAAGATAAACTAAGAGAGATATCTCTTTTAGTTAAAGAGATATCTCTTTAACTTGGAAAGATATCTCCAAAAGTAAAAGAGATATCTCTCAAGGTGAAAGAGATATCTCTTTAACGTTTAGAGATATCTCTTTTCACGAAAGAGATATCTCTAAAGGAGAAAGAGATATCTTTTCAAGTGGAAGAGATATCTCTCTAATAAAAAGAGATATCTCTCTAAGTATAAGAGATATCTCTAAGTTTAAGAGATATCTCTTTCTCATAGAGATATCTCTTAAAAATGAGATATATCTCTTTAAGTTGAGAGATATCTCTATTTTTTAAGAGATATATCTGTTAAATGAGAGATATCTCTGTAATTTTAAGATAGATTTTATTTTCCGAATAAATAGTAAAAGGGCTTGCCATATAAACCAATTCAAGTTATGAGATATTGTGTTATGAAACCCAAGAAGAAAAAAGTTAAATTAGATTCAACTTTGACTGAGATAAATTCATATCAAGCAATATTTTACTATAAATATTAGATAATTAATAACGCACGCTATAAATGCTAAATGTACATACACAATCTCGTACTTGTCGATCAAGGTTACCATAACATAAAGGGTGTTATCGTTAATTTAGAATCAGGGTTGCACATTCGAGAGATCAGCATGCTGAATATCAAAAATAAAAAAAAACAACATTGTACTTTAACTTTTAAAACAAAATCATTTAACTTTTATATACATTAACTAAGACTGCTTTTAAGAGATCGTTCTTTCCTCCTAGATTGTACATATGTGTTCACTTATAAAAGTATCAGTAAATGTTGCCTTCCCTTTCGATTACATTTTGCATGTCGAACGTCACATCCGAATAAACCGATTCTGAAGGGTATAATAATGCCAGACATCAACCTCAATGCTCCACCAATATTTCCTGAAAGGTTCCGATAGAAATAGGAGAAGCTGAAGAGGAACTCTCCTCTCTGGAGGTATTTTGTTTGGGTCTGGGAATTCTGACTCATCTTTTGAAATTTCTCTTGGAGGTACAGACAGATAGCAAAAACGTGTTTAATGATAAAGATATCTGAAGTCTAGCAGACAAAGTGAATTTAACTGAGGACTTTTGTTGATTAGAGGTAAGTGCTACTTTGGTCAAGAGATCATTTTAGATCAAGATTGATAGATTTCAAAATTTATAAATGTTCACCCATAAACAGAAACGTAAATTTTTTAAATTAGGAATTTCAAATGCTTTGGTTTCTAATTTTCTCCTTTTTTTTTTTTTTTTTTTTTTTTGGATTTTGTAATTTAATGTCAAATTGCATTTTTGTAAAATTTATCAGGAGGCATAGCTGTCTTATTGATTTTTTTTTTTCTACTACCTGGTGAATATAAGAATTACAATATGATAAAACTGTTGTTTCTTATAGTGAAATTTACTTTAAATTACATAATCTTACATATTCATTCGTTGATGTTTACAAAAATGCAAACCAGAACTATTTGTTCTTCAAGACATTATGAATGCTTATAGTCAGATTTAACGTAATTATTCAAAGATAAAAGTAGGAAATTACATTAATTTATACAATACTGTCGCTGTCGTTGTCGAAAACGCTGTGGTTTTCATACATTCTGTTTAACCAAATAAACATGATCGCTGCATGCTCATGTAAAAATTTAGAAAGTGCACTTCCTATATATTTTGAATAACTCTAAGAGGAGTTGCCAACAATATTCGGAAAAGAGTGTTCTGTTGAGGAAATCCAAATGCGTAAGACTGTATCGTTCCTTTTCGTTGTACAGTCTGATCAGACGTTTGTACAGATGATCAAACAACATATGGTTCCTGGAGAAATATTTAGAACTATCTGTCTGTGCCGGTTTTCTTTAGATAAAAAGGCCCCTGGCGTATCGGACGAAATGCCGGAATGATCGGGAAAATTAATCTCTTTACTGTATACAAACTGTATCGTAACAAAGAGTGGCTAGACGTTGTGAACAAAAGCAAACTTGATATAAATATTAAATATTTTGTTAACAGTATCTTTCAAGATTGGAATTGTTGAGCCATTTTTTTTTTTTAAAAATTTATAAGAGTATTTTAGCTCTACTGGTCAGAGACTAGAAGAACTTATATGATAGTAATTAAGCTGTCTGTAAAAAAGTTTTAAAAATCCTACCCCTCGTACAGTTTTGGTCTGATTTCAATATTACTTAGTAAAAGTAGAAAGTAATATATAAAAAGATACGTATGATTCTGTACAGTTTTGGTCTGATTTTAATTTACATGCAATTTGGCACACAAGTAGACTTCACTAAGATATGTAATTCTATGCATCGGTTTTCATAACATTTGATGAGGGTTCTTTCAATTGTGACTAAAAATAGAAAATTCTGCAAATTATTTTTTAAATGCTATTCCTTTCAAACTTTTGGTCTGATTTATTTAACTTAATATACTAGTACATGTATACTACACTGTGATGTATAATTCTATTTATTGATTTTTGATTTTGATTAGATGATCTTGCATTAATAACTAAAAATATAAACTGTGCCATTCTTTTAATTAATGGCTTTTCCTCCAACAATTTTGGTCTGATTGCAATTTTGAGACTAAGCCATGAATCATAATTAATTGCTGTTTCATAGTTTCTAGTGCAAGTGCCACTTTTCCCTTTCTCTGTTATAAGTATACAAATTAAACCAGTATAGTAACACTTTCGTTAGAGATATCTGGTAAAAAAATATCATTAGAGAATTTATTATCTGTTTGACCGCAAGAACTCGTTTTCAAGCATTGATGCATACATATAACGTGGTATTGTATATACAAAGGGGGTGGAAGGATAACTCAGGTTAAAGGATGTGTTATTGCTAATTTCATTGCTCATCAACTTTTGTAGAATACCATTAAAAAAGATAACTTATTTTTATTACATATATTGGGGACGTTAATTTACATGTACTGCAATTGCGCTTGACTTGTATTATATGTCAAGAATTCGATAATGTATCGGAAAGAAACCAAAAGGAGAAATAATTTTTGGGTTCTACCACTAGTTTTTACTTTTTAGTATTTTTTATTTCTTGTCAACAAAAAGACATACTGATTAGAATATAAATACTTCTTTATTCCTTTATCTCTGCATTTTTTTTTCTGAAGTTTTAACATTCCTCATCCTGATATTTGTACAGAAGACTTAATATATTTTCCCCCTATTTACTTGGCTTTTTAAAATAATTTGATAGTACATATCATATATTTTTTTGATAAAACTTTTTGATTCGGTAAAAACAAAAACATTGGATAGAGCAAAGGAAAGTCTTACCTACTCATTAATGCAATAAGAAATATATTTGTCTAAATGATATATTTTGTTTGTATACAAATATTGAAGACATGCCTGGGCTTCCTCCCATAATGAGCCTCTTCACAGGTATATCGCATCTGGAATCTCCGGGGATAAGTGTGCTGTACCTTCAGCAATATACTGTTGATTAGGGAGGAAGCGTCCATCTCATAAATAGGGGTGCACAGCATAACTTTGGAATCAAAATGTGATATACTGAAACTTACTATTGAAATTAAGGATCATTACAACCGGAAAGTTTGTGATATTATTGAATTGATACAATTTTGTTGAAAAAATTATGGTTTTAGGATGAAATTATTTGAAATTGATCCTGGGAACTCCTGCATGTTACAATGGAATGTTCTTACGACGGAAGTTACTTAGATAGATAGAAGATATGAGAAAAAATACATGAATAAAAAATCTTTTTGGGATGTAGTTATGAGTATGCGCAAATATTTATTTGTGATACCCCCGACACATTATTGGTTCTACACAACTATTTCTGCGTTCTTCTAGCCGGCAACATGATGAAAAAACTTGCTCTGAATCTTCTAAAGGTTAGTACAATATAGTGCGAGTCTGGTTTTTGTAATCCTTGATTTTATTTTTACGGTGGCAGGTATTTTCTCGTCTTTTTGGCTTGGCACTGAAACTTACATAACATGTGTTTTGATAAGATAAGGTGGTTGCTAAAATTCACAAGGGTAGGGATGAAGAAGGTCTGTTATATGCCTGAATGTCTGCATTTCATTATCTAACATGTATATCAACAAGCTTTTCATTAACGATGATGTTCTTGTTCAAAGTGTATACCGAGTTTTATGTGAACCTGCTCAGAACATTGTCGAGTTGGCCTATGTTTTTCAAGTTTCTTTTTTCAACAAAGTGATAATTATCTTTGGAATCCGAAAAGATGAACGGTAGCAAGCTTCAGAAGATTAATTTACTTTGTTCATCAAAATCAAGAGTTAACGAGAGCCCACAGCAAAAAATGACAATTATCTTCTATATAGATTAAAGTACGACCAATTTATTTCTCCAACTTTTTGGCAATGTTACATTTATATGCTTGCCTAGATGAAATAGTTGGTCTAAATTGATAATGATTATAAGATTACACAGGAAATGGCCTGAACCTTCTGTCTAACTTTACAGAGATTTCGTTAATTTGAAAGACTTATCATTTTTTGCTTCCTGGTGTGAAGGTCTTCCTTAGTGTTTCCTCCACGTTTGAAAATTTTCTTATCAAAACCACACTGCCAGAATCGTCTTTCATCGGAAATTAGTTGCATCTTTTTATGACATATCAACTTTATGAATCTCGATCCTGCTTTCTCAGGACACGAGGGTACAGGTGTGATGTAGATAAGCTAGAGTTCGAGTTTTTCACATGGTCTATTGAATAATTATTATATAGAGATATAGAATCCATCACCATGTTTATAATTCTAAGTATTTTACAGTAGAATTTTTTGGCATTTTTTAAAGATTCCTTCTTGTTGCTGTGTGATGGTCAAATTGAATGTAAAAAAAAATCTTTACGTTTCCCTTTTTTTAAATTGAAATCCAAAGACATAGTAACAATTCTTAGGTAAATACATGCCTGTAGTAATATTCAGCTGTTTTGAATCCCACAAATTGTAGGCTTCTTGTTATTACTTCTAATAATAGAGATCAATCAATACATTGTTTATTATTTGTTTTACTTACAGGGATGTTTTCTTGACCATATTGAGGCCTCTTGCTACATAATAAAGAGTTAAGACATCATAATTTTATTTATACCCTTGGTATATTTGTGAAATTTTTAAAAATAGTTACCTTATAGGCATCCGTTTATACGTAAAATATAATTTTACAAGAGCCAATATAGTCTTATATACGCCATGTATTTTTGAAATAAGTTGTAACAACTTTCCTGATTATTCCAAACTCGGCCTCTCCTCCCAAAATTTGCCGATTTATTATGATTTAATAATTTGATGAAATCAGTCACGGTTGCTGACATATAATCTTATCAGCCATTCCGAGATAACAGATGGAAGGTAAAACCTGGGTCCAGATGTTTACGCATGAAGAAAAAGATATTAAGCCTGTACCGTACCACAATACAGTGTAACAAACGTCCACCAGAGCAGTTGCTGAAGTGAGATTTTAAAAGCCCTGGTTGTCATCAAGTTTAAAAAACGTTTACTGAATTAAATTTTTCAGTTCATTTTTCAAATTCATTTACTTTAAATTACGTGTTAATGACACCATTGGTTTGTACCTGTATTATTTACATTAGTGGTAAGAGGTCTATCGTAGCTTGTTAAGGAGAGATGTACACCCTACTGGTACCCCCAGAGAAGATCCTATCTTGACGATGTGTTGTTTCTCGCCCTGTTTGCATCAGTAAATGTATGTTCGTGTTAAATCACTTCTCCGAATCCAACTTCTCCCACTTTCAAAAAGATATATGCTGGAACAAAGGAATTTGTTTACGTAGAAAACAATGATTTAAGTTACATGTCAGCCACTTGTTGTTGTTCATGTTGTTGTTGTGTAGTGCATGTCAGTATTCAAAAGCTCTTAAATGTAAGCATAATTTTTTTTAAACAATACACACATATAGTTCTCTCTAAAGAGGCAAATAATATTGTTATGAGTCATATAAATAGTATTTATTTGTCATCATTGATTACTTGTACTATACTTTGGCAAGGTACTTTGACCTATTTACAAATCTTCCGCCAAACAAGTTAGTTTGGCCTCCGCCACCTGTTGCTTTTGATATTAAGCCAAATGATTAAGCCCAGGAACGTTTATGTATTCTTTATATGACAAAATTGACCTTTATTCCCCTAGGACATCTCTATATACATGTACTCTGTCAGAATGTGGACTATGCATCATTCAGTGTAGAGAAGATAATGCTTCTTGCAATTGTTGTAACATCCAGAAATTAAAGTTTGCAGAAAATATACAAAGTTATACATAATCTCATAATGCTGTATTATACAAGTATTTATGAAAGCATGTGAATAAGATAACTCCCTTCATGAGATATAATGTACCTGTAAGCAGATCCATTATTTTGAAGGGTGGTATAATGTAAGTCACAAAAATGCTTGATGGATATAATTGTTAAAAAACGGAAGGCTTCATCAGAGGAACTGTAACATAATAACATGTAGTTTAATACATGTATCTATCATGAATATATATGACGAAGATAAGTCAAAATTTAGAATTTTGAATTATTTGATTTCAAAGCAAAATTTTTAAAATACAGCGAGCTTAAGATAAAAAAAGAGGGTTTTTTTTTTTATTAATTCGGCTACTAAACTAATCTTATATAATTGAATAATTTTTCTCGTCAAAATCTATTGTAAAATAATGAAAATTGAGATAAGAGCCGTATCTCAGGAGTCAATGCTATAATACAGTTAACTTAAGTATATTCCTCTGTTTACATGCCAAGAACATGCACAGTAAAATCCACATGAGGTCATTATCAAAAGCTGAACTCACGCGCCTCTCTCAAAACTGCCAAAGATTAACCATCTAATTGCCTTGTACCTTGCTATGCTCATATTGACATACATTTGAGCCTATAAACAAGAAAACAAAATGATTTTTCAGACTCAGAGACTTTAGGGTATGTTAGAGAACGCACCGCTCGTTATATTTTTCATTTGATAAAGCGCAGCTTGAAGAAGGATTGCCAATTTGTATTTCGAAAAGCAAAAAACATTGAGCATGTAGTCAAAACAAATTGGGTTTAATTATATCGAAAATGATGGGTACTTTGCTTTTAATATGTTTAAATGAAAACAAAATACATGTGGCAAAACATTTTAGTAAAAGTGCCGAGCTTTAAAAACTTGTTTAAAATATACCTATTTTCATTTTGCAATGATATGAAACTTGTTCAAAATACTAGTAGTATAAATTGATATAACTATCATTCAAAGTTCACGAATATGCATGTTAAAACTCGATACGAATTAACCCATTAAAACAGACAAAATTATTATCTAGATCATAGTCTAAATAGGGTTTTTTTTTTTAATTAATCAAAAATCTCTCAGGAAAAGGGGTAAAAAGCACAAATATTCAAGACAGCCCTGGCAAGTTTAAGAATTTTTTTTTCAAAGGAAATCTGTCTTAAAACTTTATGGCATCAAGAAGTCTATTTATAGACAAAGCAAGCGCAATGCCCTGCTATCGGGAATCCTACAGCTTCAGGATTCTTCTTTCAAAATGAATCAGTTCCACGATATCTTTGAACGCCTGAGGAAAGTTTTGATTTTGGTCAAGATAAGAAATTAGGACAAGGAATTTTAATACCCAAACTTTGGAATTCTAGTTCAGTTATTAGTAAGAACCTGAGAGCAGTTGAGAAACTTGTTTTTTGTGGAATAAATTTGTCAAGTAAGTATAGTTGTTGTTAGCAGTGATAAGGTGTCGCCTTCATTTCTTACTGTAAAGGTCTTTATAATGATTGCAATTTTTATTGCTTTTAAAATACTTAATATTCATGAGTGTGTTTCTTATTGATTTTTTCTTGTGAATACTCCACGTATTCTGTAAGTTGTTCTTCATTTACGCAATTAAATCAGAAATGCAATCATCTATATCTACATGTAATATTTTTTTCTTAAATAAAATTATTTGTACGAAACAAAATTGATAGGGTAAAATTTCCATAAACCATGTATTTTGAATTTGTATCTCATCCCTTCCTCCTGGCGTTGAACAGATGCATGTTTTGACAGTTGTTACAAATCAAAGAGGGGAAGTGGAAATGTTCCTCTCCAACCCAAACCAAAAGGTTATTAATAGATTAAAGCTAGCCATATTTCACACTGACTTTCAAAGATTTATTTCTTGGCAAACCTATGGGATCTTAAATCATTTTTATCATTCTAGATAAACCGCAAAACCATGTTTTCGTTCGATTTAATGGTAAACAAACTTAAGTTGGAATTTATCTTCTTTTTTTTTATTTTCAAACATGAAGACCTAAGTGTCATTTATACAAAAGCCCAGAAGGTAGATAGAATGATTTCCTCTGATTTTTAGATTTTGTAATGTTAAATTTTTAAGGATTTTCATTGCTTAATTTGCAAGTGTATTTAGTTATAAATTTTATTTTCCCTGAAACCATATACTTTGCTATTCTGGTGCCATCCGGCAATTGCCCTTTTTATGAATATTAATGAAATATGATGGAAACGGATTGTAATCACTGTCAAAATCTACTGAAACAATATAAATAGAGTAAAAAAAATCTGAAAACATATGTTGAATCAGGTGTCAAGGGGGAGTCTGCATTTCATAGCTGACTTCGTTTGCTCGTCGTTTTGAGTAAATGGAAAACTCAGTAGGTAGTTCAGTGGGAAATAATGGCCCAACAATTTGAAAGAAACACATCCGTTAATATTCGAACTAACGACAGATTATATTTGCGGACAAGGTCATTGACTTTAAACGAAATTGTTGAAATTCTTGTTTCATCAACTTCTTTGTTAATAGCCCGCCTTGTTTTAGAAATTGTTTGCGAGTAGAAATACTATTTTGTGCCGATTCAGTGTATGGCATATTTATCGATATGATAATGGTATAATGCTACATAAATATGGTATGTTAACATAGAATTACCTGTCCTCAATACAATACAATGCATATCAACTCAAGATAAATGCCATCTGCAGGATTACAAAAGAACATCTATAAGACTGTGTTCCCTTTGGACGCGTATGTCTACAATCTCTCTCTCTCTCTCTCTCTCTCTCTCTCTATATATATATATATATATATATATATATATATATATATATATATATATATATATATATATATATCAACATTCACACCACAGTCAAGTGACATAAAGTAAAGCTGCGTACGCAGTGACTCCCCAGAATTAGTGCATATGTTTGATTTGTTTTTATTATGACTCATTCAGCAGCTGTTGATGGAGTTATCTAATCATTACGTCTGTCAAATACATTTGGACAATTTCAGTTGTCAGTTATGTAACAATTACTCATATAAAATACAAATGTGCTAACTTTTCATCCCTTTTGTTAAATTTAGACTTAGGTACCTTTTTTAGTCGGCTGTGTTCTGATGAGGGATTCAACAATAAAACATTTTCGAAATGTATCTCTTCACATCGCCTCTGAATATTAATACCCCGGTATTAAATTTGGTGAATTTTGTAGATATTACTGTTTTTATTGGAAATGAAAACACAGGGCCTGATTTGTTACTCACACTATAATTTTGTCCTGTTATATTCCATGCCTCTTATCGCGGCATCTCTCGATTCATGCCAGCTACCCCGTATCCAGTTTCGCATGTAGATAGTTATGTTCCGTAGCGCGTTTCGGTCGTTTGAATGATGTCAATGTTTGAGTGATAAGTTGATGATCTAATTAGTGTTCTTGTCTGTCTGTTAGATACTTGAACCTATCACAGCAGTAGATAACAGTGTTTGTACTGAATCTAAATTATCCCAAGACAATAAGAATAGCGAGATACTATTGTCGATTGGAGAAAATCTGTAAAATCAAAAGTTTTTCTCACATTTAGAAATATTTTAAATATTGTTCTTTTGAATTTTTTTAAAAATTCCCCATGTTTTGTCCTAGAATGTATAGGGTAAATGATTTTATTCAGGGGGATGCTTTCACTCTGACTTGGATATTCTGGGGCCATGAGTACAAAAGCTTTTTAAGTCGGAAAGGAGTAAACGTCTTCATCTTCCGGGGATCTTTATTTTGACATTAAAATCATATATAAAAATATATGTCAGAGGAAAATCAAACAGCTAATTTTTTTCTTTCAGAGTGCAGACGAAAAATTGAGGAACTTTGGAGGAAAGCACTCTGGAAAGTCAAATAACATTGAGCAGCAACCACCACTTCCACCCCGTTTTGCAAACTCACTGCCACTCAATGTCAGACATACACAAGATACAGAAACAGATCGGAACTTTACTTTAGACCGGGAAATGGCGGATAGAAGAACGCAGAGAGGTTCCAACAACAAGCAGACGGCAAGTTGCGATTCGAGGTCAGCAGATGTAAAAAGAAGATCACGAAGCGCAGGGCCTCCGGGAAAAAATAAGAAGAGAAATTCGATGGATGAGAGAAAGTTTCTAGCTGCCCAGGAGAAGAAAAATAAAGCTTCCCGATACTATCAAAGACAGCAAGAACTTAAACAAGGTACACGACATTCTCTGTACAACGAACCACAGTCGGATGAAGGTGGTTTTCCTAATTACAGTTCCAGCGCATCGGACTCGGATTGTAACAACAAAACAAATTGGATGAAAAGCCCATTAAACATAAGAAATGCTAAGCAGAATGAAAAAAGACAACCTAGTGGAACTTATGACAATGGTGTTTACAGCATCAATGAAAATGAATATAACAGACTGGAAAGTCAGAATATGAAGAACCGTCAAGCTTTAAGAACAGGGGCAGCTCGTGAATCCGACCTTCGTGACAAAAATGGAAACCCCAAACATAAGTTTCAGAAGCTTGAAGAGAGACGGAATCAGAGGATTGATTTTACTGTGACTTCAGACGACGAAGTGAATTCTCCTGAGGCTGGGATCACCAAATTAAGACAAAGAGCTCTTCAAGGATCGAAGCAATCCCCTAAATTACCCGACACTTTGGAAGATTGGAACTTCTCTTCAAAAGCTCCCCAGGTAGGAGAAATGTGAAGCTGATAAAGTATATGTTCCTATTTTTCAATGATAAGAACGTCTGCTAACACTCGATATTTAAACTTGATAGGAGATAAAGGGATTGGATGCTGAATTTTTCACGTATGCTGGTGATAAATTTCATGGAGTATGCGTTACTCACTGTAAATTTTTACTTATCATGTTTATTCTGAACTCGAAGATAAGCAAAGTTGGTTTGAGGGAAATAACCTTAATTTGGCATAATATGGTTGGGAGAGGGCGATGCTAGGCTTTGGTTTGGAAACAAGTTTTTTGATATGTATTTGTTTTCGAAATTATTCAGTAGAAAGGTAAGTAATGTTGAATTGTAGAATATGCTTATATTTGTGGACACATGATACAAACCAAAAAATGGATGAATTTATAGACTGGTAAATATGTTTGGACTTATTTTGTTTGTAAAGATGCTTGCATCAATTTTCTAAAAATTATTAGCAAATTTTGCCATTTAAAACTAAAAGACTTTACAAGAAAAATGGAAATTTATGTGGTAATACTCATTTTGCTTTCAAGAACATAGATTTAGTTCTTATTTTGACAAAAGCTTGCTATCATCTGGGCTTACGTATGCAGTTAGAACTAAACGAATAGCATATTTGTTTACTTTTTATAACTTAATGCTTACTAGTATTGGATCAGAAATGGTTTACAGTTGATAAGTATTTATGTGTAATATAAAGATTATCTATTTCTAGACAGAGCATATTCAAGCATTGCTAAAATAAAGATAGCTTGCCTTGATATCTTAAGTCTGATGCATTTTAATCAGCGGTTAGAGAACTTTTATATTTTTAGGTTTCCTCGTCACTAGAAGTGAAGCGAACGTACCATGGGAACGTGGAGCAGGTAGAAAATGGATCGTCCTCTTCAGAGCAGATCACCCTCCGACAAATAGGCCCAGGTATACGCGTGTCAAAGTCCCCGAATCAGACGAGCAGTGACGGAGGTCAAAGGCGAGGAAGTGGTCAGGAAAAGAAAGTGGCTGTTCAGGGGAGTTATAGAAAAATACCGAAGCAGGAGAGTGACTTCCGGCAGATTCAAAGTGCCAATACACCTGAAGTAGAGAACACACCGAAACAAACCGATGCAGCACGCACCGGAGATTCTATCAATAGAATAAGGGAACTACCTTCAGGGGGATACGTGAGATACACAGTTGAACACCAAGGAAATATTCCATTAAATGTAAGAAACGTACAGAACAGGGGTGCAGAAAACGTTATAAATTTTCAGGAAGTCAAATCTAGTCAGCCTGTCACCATTAAAAAGGCAATGGACAGAATGGATAACAAACGAAAATCGTACAGTGACGAAGATTCTCTTGACGATCTTGTTGAATCTAACATTCAATACTTAGAAAGTGAATTCGAAAATGGAAAATTGAAGAAACTTAATAGTCAGAAACCTGCAAAATTTCCTATTCCAGTAGAACATCGTGATGTGAATAAAGAGAAAAGGCGATCTGCATCTTTGGATGGATATGCCAGATCTAGACCTTCGTGTAGTGATTCTTTTCAGAGTGAGGTTAAACTTCGCTTACAGATTCCATCAATGGTACAAAACAACAGGTTTCATCAAACCAAAATTGACACACAAAACCGTGGTGAAGCACCAAAACGCCATGAACATAAGCTGTATTCACCACAGGTACCTAGAAAACCTGTACAAACAACAGCAAATTTCCAATCGCAATATCCAAATGGTGCATTGTTTCAAAACACTGTTCCCAAGTATGAAAGGAAATTTCAATCAGCAACTGCGAGTCCCTACTTGCAAAGACGGGCTTTAAATTTAGGTGAGATGGAAGATATTTCAAGATCTGAAACTCAGATTAACTCTCAAGAAAACGGGTTTTCCTATCAACTGCCGTCAAATTTCATTCATCCCTACTTCAAAGAATATCAGAAAACAGAGAGAACTGTTTATAAAAATAAAGACGATGACGTCATATCTAGTGAATCGGTTATAAAAAGTGTTTCAGTTCCTGGAATGGAGAGCGGAATGTTCTCTGATGTGGATTACGACATTGAAGTTTCGGAGCGAATCAAAAAGTGGGAAAAATATATGAAGAAACCAGGACTCCAAGACAATAGTGATAAACAACTAGGTTCAATATCTGAAACCACTAATGATTGGCCTATGGAGCCTGAAACTCCAGTTCCTGTGCCACAGACGATATCAGTGTCATCCACATCTGTTACTTTGACAAAGGCTCCCTCAAAACCCGTTGAACAAGGAAATCCGCAAGAGTTCAAGGAAACCTATTTCGAACCGAAAGTAAAATCAACAGAAACTAATACACATAGAATTTTTCGTGTTTTACAAGACACAAAACCCCAACAAGACAATCCACAAACTATGGACAATACTTATAACTGGGTAAAAAATCCATTGTTAATGGATACTGGAGTTGGAGACGCTCAAGACATTGAGTCTAGTAGTACATGTGTGGAGGAATCAGTGTTAAGTCCTTACATAGTGTCAAGGCAAGGATGGCCTCCGCAGTCAGCTGCAACTCTGATTGTAGAAAAAAGACCTTCAAGGCTATCAAGATTAGAGGATGAAATAAACGAACTTCAGGACATCAAAATTGAAAGTGTTCGAGACCTAAGACGAAAATTTGACTCAGATGCAAGCGGCAATGAAAGTGCAGATGTAACTGATACGCCATCGACACCTGCTGTTATGACTCCAATGCGTCAACGGAGACATTTTGTTCGGCCTCCTCAAAATCAAGAGTCGAAGACTTTGTACGTGCAAATGTCAAACCAAACTGAAAATCAGTCGACACCACAATCAAAGAGTTATGAAAGGAAAATAAACACTCTACGGGTGGAAAAATTACCAGTAGAAGAGGATGTGTGGTCACCAAACATGCCTAGTGATAAAGGGATGGTTAGTATTGAGCGTGTAAAAGCCCGGACACTCCAGACTATCCCATTTTCTGAGGACCCAATATGGAAAGAGATAGAGGAAATGACCAATATGGAATTGTTGGTCAATGATCTGAATGAACCAGCTGCTGCCTCCCCTCCAATTCGTCCGTCCGTTGAATCCTCAGTTCTGAAGCGAAACAGTTATATAGATTTTGAAAAAGTTCCAATACCCGTGACAAACACAGCAAAGTCTCCTACCGTACAACAATCAAAACCTGTTGTAAAAACAAAGCCCTATTTAACACCAACAATCCAACCATTAAAGCTTACAATTGACACTAAGAGTAGTGTTGACGCTTTGGATGAAGTTCTTGAAGACATTAGATCATCTTTGCAAAAGAAGCCATTGAGTCCAAATGTGCAAAGAAAACGAACAGATGAAACGGGATCCTCATCCATATTATCTCCTACCGTTTCTAGTACGGGCCAGATATTTTTCCCGACAAAGTCTCCCACCAAATCGGAGGTTCCTTCAGCTGCAGCAGCCCCATGGGCTAATCAGTATGGATACAAACCAAGTTGGCAGGATCAGTATGGGAGCAGTGATCTTAACCCGTCCATGGAACAATCTACGTATGTTCAAAATCAGCCTACATACATAGATCCACAGTTTACACAGTTTCCACACATTATCAACGGAAATTATCAGCTAGACCCGCATCTGCTAAAAGAAAAATTGTTAAGCACTGGCCTCGCTGATTATCTATCAGAGACGGAAGAATCTCGCCGGAGAGAGCCACCAACACCTCCTGAACGCAAATGCGACGCTGAGAGGCAGGTTTTGAGATCTATGGAAGAGCTAAGAAAGCTAGCGGAAGATGTGGAGACAAGATTACGTCAAATAAGGTCAAAAATTGTCCAAAGTGATGAAAAGAAACTTGATCTTGTTGTTTCAGCACTGAAAAAGTTCGAACCAGATATAAACTTGAAGCAAGATTCCAAAAGCGAAAGTCGTGAAGAACATTCTCGAAAAATGGAGAAGATGGGGGAAGCATTGTCAGAACTAAACAGAATTTACAAGCAGTTGGATATAGATGAGGAGAAAACCAAAGGATCAACTTCCCTCGGTAGGTCCAAATCATTTAATACAAATTCTTCTCGACCGGAATTTAAAAGAACTTTTTCAGACTCAGATTACAATGTAAACTTTTATCGAGATGAATGTTTAGCCGAAGTTGAAAAAGAAACTCAACGTGAATTTGAAGACATCAATAAATCTTTTCAGACTCTCCTCGCAGAAGTGTCAAGTGATGCAATACAATCACCAAAGACACAAATGGATGATGTTGATCACAATGCGCAAATCAATGCTACACTAGAGAATTTTCTTGGCGAATTTCGAGCTTCGAATTCAAGGTCTACAACTGAAACGATGGAACCAACAGAACTAAAGAGACACTTTACTCATTCGAATGAAAATTCACCTTCAGTACGAAACACATGCAGAGAGATATTGAAATCTGAAGTATTCACAGCTTGTTCGGGCCCATTTAATGTCCTAGTTGGTATTAATGGAAGACAAAGACCATTGCCAAGAAAAAAGCCACAGTCGCAAGCTACAGTCAAAAAGGAAGAAATGTCGAAGACAGATTCTACCACGTCATCACTGGAAGATGGATCAAACTGGTCTCCTGTTCCCGAGACCAAAACATCATCAATACGGGTTCAATTATCTCCATCTTTATCTCGTGAATCAGTGTCAAAAGAGTGCTCCGATTGTGACGAAAAGCAAACAAATACAAGTAAAGCACAAAGAAGATTCAAGAAAAACGCAAATCTCACTCATCGTAAATCAATGCCAGCTGAAATGATAAAGAAAAGTGTGGAAACACAAACAGCTGATGTAAACTGGGCAACATCGGTGGCAAATATGAGAGAAAAGTTTTCAAAGATAGATAGAGAGGACTCAGTCTCAAGTGAGAGCTCGGTTGATTTTAAAGGACCAAAGAGAAGGCGACAGATTGCCAGAGGAATAGCCATGATGCTTGAATTCTTCAGTTCTAGTGACGACGAACGAGGTAAAATGACACTGTCTCATTCACAGAGTGCCCCCGACATACGCAGCTTGTTTGTTGCAGATTGTATAGATAAGCCTGTGTCTAACAAAGCTCAAACGCCAAGGGCAGTAAAACAACGTCATGAGACGAAGTCAAGAAAAAGATCTGTGGAACTGAGAAGGAAAGACAAAGCAAAAGAGGATAAAAATGAAGAGGCATCAGTGGTTTCTACAACGTCTGACGACGGCTATGGAACAAAACCTCCTGTACATCCGGGCAAACAAAGATCTTTCAGTCCAGAAGTTAAGAATGAAGGGGATGTACGGAGAATACAAGGAGAGTGTCATGGACAAACACAAACAGATGAATCAGATTTTCAAACGGTGCAGTTGTGCAAGGGTAATGATCGCAAGAGAACAGATGACCAAGAATCTGAAAGACCACATAGTTTTCATGAACTCCTTGCGATGTTTGAACCAAACCTATCAAGATTGGCAAAATTGAAAAACTCGTTAAGGAAGTGTGCCTCTGTAGAGGAAATTCAACAGGAAACAATATTTCGTAAAACATTTTCATCTGAACCAGACCTTAGTAAATTAAATGGTCTTTCAAGTGATCGAACAATTTTTAAGCTCGAAGTGATGTTAAAATGATTAAATAGATAATAGTAGTGAAACAACTGTAGTCGACTTAATACTCATCGAGCTAGAAAATATCATTAGAAAGCTAGCAATTTTTTGTAACTTGTAGATAAAAACTAGCAACTATGATTAACAGCTTAGAGGACATATGCAGCTTTTGTGAGGCTTAAATGTGAAATCACGACGGACTGTGTAATATGTGATACAAAAGCACAATGTGATAACAAAACAATGGCCGTGATGTATAAAATAATTAAAATAGCAGGTTGTCATTTCTTTCATTGTTTTAGCATACTATTCATACAACTTGTTGAAATGTGCAAAAAAAAAACATGTTTTTTCTAAATGCTGCAATACAAACAAGTTCGTAGATATTTCATTTCCATGTCATCCGATTCTGCAGTTCAACTGACCACTAAAACATGTAGACAGATCATCTTTTATAAAAATCGAACATTAGACTTGGAGGATTCAAATGTTATATCTTTTCGTCAATTTATTTTTTTAGTTTTCGTCTTTGGTTAGTCAATAATTATAATTTGATTAATAAAAAGTAATGGTTTTTTCAGATTCTAAAAATTGTTATCCTATTAAATGGAGATAATGAACAGAATTAAAGCTCTAAGTCTTTTAAACAATACAAATTTGGACAGAACAATGATGGACGTCCAAACTACCAGAGGTGGGATCAGATGCCATGGAGAAGTGAGCATTCCCTGCCTCCCGGTCCACATATGTTCAATAATTAACAGAACCGGAAACGAATTTGTTACACACGACAGAATGTGAGTTGTGATCTTGACATATCATCTATTGGCCTCAAAATTAGTAGGGAACTTTTTTAGGCAATAATTTACGTTTGAGTTGTGATAAAAATCTCTTACAATACCTTCAAAAACCTTGAAGCTTTTGCAGTGAAATTTTACATCACAATTCCTTTTGCTCTAAAAAAGACCCCTATCGATTTTGAGGTCAAAGGTCAGAATTTCAAGCATTCTGTTTGTGTGAAACACTTTTCTTTCTGGGCGATATCTTTAAAGCCTTCAAGCTTTTACAATGTTATTTTATATGTCGCGATTCCCTGTGGCCTAAGATGATCCTATTCACTTTGAAGTTCAAAGTTCATGGTCAGAAATTCAAACATTGCAAATAAAAGACTCCAGATAACTTGACTTCTCTCTCAGCTTTTCAATGAAATTATATGTCGTAACTACTAGTGATTTATAAAGTCCCCTATTTGTATTTAGGTCAAAGGTAAAAGCAAAAAAAAATTCTTATGCAAAAATCTGGTTTCCAGAAAATAACTTTTCCTTGAGTTTTTATATGAAAGAATATGGAAGAACAAATTGGGCGAAGTGCCTATATAGTGTGACAAACATGAATTCAAAAATCAAAGTTCAATTATATCACAATTTTGATATTTCATATAACATGAAAGTCTATTTTATGTAAAATCCATTATACATACTATTTAAAACTCGCAAAGACTGAAATTAATTGCCAATGAGATGGCATAAAAAACTCCATCTTTTCCTATCAGCTCTTGGCCTTAAAGTCATGTTAGCATGTGTCAAGATTTCTTTTGACATCCAACAATGCAACAAGGTCTTTTTCAGTGGTATTTTTAAAAATTCTTCACACACAAGACCACTACCTTTTACACACATACCATTATTAAACCAGTGTCTCTTTCTCTCATTCAAAAAATTTTTTTGCCAAATATATGTTGCAGAGAGATGTCTAAACTAGAGAGTAATGAAAGACACACTAAATGGAAAAGCTGAGGAGAGTTTCTCACATGAAACCTTTGATAAGAGCAGAATTCTTCAGAACAGTTTCCAAACAAGACCACTTTAATTTCGAATAAAACTGTTTTGTCTTACTTAGTAAAAAAGAAAAAAACTAAAATTCCAGTTAATTTCTTTTATTCATGAGAACTCTATTTCCATGCAATTATTAAAGACTGCCTGAGAAAAAAGTTTCTTCTCGCAAATATTTGTATTATTAAATGTTATTGTATACATGTACATATACAACCCATATTCCTTTTTTTTCACTAATAAATAATACCAAACAACTTTCTCTCAAAAGTAAGGTGTCAAAAAATTTGTGACTGACAGATGTCCTATTTATGTCACAATTTATAATTCATTAGGCTTTCATAAATTTATATCATCACTTCAATATCATCTAAGTCTCAATTAAAAAGCGATGCTGTGGAATCAAAATTTCACGGTGGACATAAAATTTGTAGATGAGAGGTGCCCACGATTCCACAAATTGAACCATTACGAAATTTAATGATTCCACAGTATGTATAAAATGAAGAAAGAAAATTTTCATTAACTTTTTCTCTCCAATAACCCAGACCCCCCAATATTTTATCATTAAGATTGCATTTGCCTGAATCATGCCTTTAAAACAGACACAATTCCAATATCTCTCGAACACATTCAGAGGAGTTATCCCTCTTGTTTCACTTTTTCTTTTTGTCCGTTAGCCCTGCACCGGCATTGAACTTAAATAAAATAATGTCTCCATCCTCCACTACGTATTCTCTTCCTTTCTGTCGGTATTTACCATTGGCCTGTAGTTCAGAGAAACACTCCAGTAAAGTCACAAGGTAATTTCAACACCATTATTTAAAGCAATGTCAAATCAACATTGTGTTTTAAGTTTAAATTTAGACTATCTCAAGTCTCTATGTTTTAGTGCTCTCTTTCATATTTTTTGATAATGTCAAACCTATGTTTGATAACATTTAACTATGAAAGAGAGCAGAGGACAGCAATACAAAGAACAAAGAATTTAGAAAATATGTTAATGAAAAAAATTAACAATGAAAACATAGAGACTTGAGCAAGTCCAATTTAAATTAAGTGAATGAAAACATTGTCATATAATCTTAAAGTCAGAAGAAGCACTTAAATACATTTCATAGACAACTGAATCGTAAAAAGATAAGTATTGCCAACAGTAGAAATACATTTAGGGAGTAACTATATTCTACTTTGCTATTTGCGACCGTTTATGCTGATATAACTGTCCCAAACTGAGTTTTACCGCTGATTTGCAAGCAGAGCCTGTAAAACAGATGTTTGTAACCTTCAAATCACTATTACTGGTCGCAAATACTAAATTAAAAAATAGTTACTCCCATAGCTATGCAATTAATGCATTCTGCTTGATGTATATGTCTTGTTTTGTTTTGTTATATGAAATACTTCACCAAGTGTTGTGATTTTACTATGCTCTACTGTGATATCGAGAACACCAGTGCATTGGCCAATCAAAATATGTGTTTAAAAATCAGTTTGCATTAGAATGTAGATTACCTTGCACTCCGCCTCAGATCCGAATTCTTTAAAGTCAGCATAGTTCATGACTTCAGCCATGATGAATCCTTTCTCAAAGTCTGTGTGAATCTTTCCTGCAGCCTGAGGGGCCTTTGTTCCTTTCTGGAAATTATACAGAGTTTTGGATAAGAAAAACGGTCTGGGGGTACTTTGGTATTCTCTGTTTTTGTTTAAAACTACAGATAATATTTAGGGGGATGCAGTAATACTGTGCTTCCAACACTAAGTTTAAATACTTAGATGCTTTTAAATGAAAACTGTGCAATCAGTTAAGCATTTACATGATTCTTTCATATTCTGTATATAATACTCAAACAAACAAACACATATACTGTAAACGTATTATATTTGGCTGTGTATTCTTTTTAGTGCCTTTAGCGGAGAGAAACTTCCGCTAATTCAAGTACAACACTAAATGTCTTCCACATATACTCATTAATAAGAACATTGAGAAATGCGCTAAATCAAATTTACGCTAACTTGTTCAAAAGTCAGTTTCCGCCAAATATAATACATTTACAGTATATGGATGAATATACATGTATAACAAAATAAAAATCATGTGATCCTTAGCAGTTGAAAAAAATTCTTCAGACTGCACAGATTTATGCGAGTCCGCCAGCAATGCTAAACAAAGCTTATTTTATTTTTGGCCCAGGAAAAAACCATGTGTCTACCTGTATCGTCCAAGCTTTGACTTCATCTTTACCAGAGGTGAAGAAGTATTGTAAATTCAGTGCCTTGTATCCATTAACAATGATTTTCTCTAATGCACTAAAATGATAAAAAAAAATCTTTATATGTCTTTTCTGCATTTTACATAGACCACAGATATTTTCACAATTTAGCTATCAATCCAATCAAAATTTAAAAACAGTTCTTAATACGTTAATATAAAGCATTTGGATTTCGAATTGTAAGGATTTAATTATCCTCAAATACTTCTATAGAAATGTAGTTATCAAATATTCATCCAATATTTATTAAAAAAAATCCTAAAATGAACATCAAAATTTATTTTTGGAAGGACCTCCCAAATATCTTCACCTGTATAGTTAGATCTGCATGAACCTGCATTACGATAGGACCATTTTTTAGATTATTTTCAACAAATAAATCGTTTGTAACCTTGTAACTTTCTTTTCCTCCTGATACTTTTGCTTTTCCTCATCAGACATATCTAGCAGGGCCAGTTCCACAGCACAGCTCATCAGGATGACCATAGCCCCAGGGTCATTCTTGTCAATCCATTCCTTGATTTTTACCAACCTGTCAAATATCAACACATAGTACAATTCTCAGTTAAGCTTGGACTTTCAGTAAGGCATGGCATTCTTGGCACTACGTAATAAGCATCTGTCAAATGGCAGATAAATTCTCATTGGTTAAGAAATTAATAACATCAGGAACTTTAAATTGTTGTTGACAATGATGAGATGACTTAAGCCCCGCCTCTGTGCCATTTACTACACTAGTTGACATTTGGCCAAATTTCTATCCTATGTTCACGTATATTTAAACAGTGAAGGAAAGCTTTGTAAATTTCAGCAGCTAATTATGTAACGTCGAGAATGTCACACCTTACTGACAGTCCAAGCTTAACTGAGAATTGTCCTAAACAACATCTAAAAAATTATGTCGCATGATCTAAATTTAAATCCAAGAGGATATCACTGTTAAAAAACAGAGAAGTTCCAAAGCCTTACATTAGTATGAGGTATACAAAACCTTTAGTAATAGAAACATGATGAAACAAACTGGCAGTGTTTGCACAACAACCTATCTAGAAAACAAAATAATATTTCAAGTACAAATGAACTTGGAATCTTTACTTAACATTATGGCAAATGTTTCAGACAATTGAGCATATTATATATGTTTCTTTATGTAGAAGAAGATTGACATGAAATGTAAGTTATGGATTTACACATGACTTCTGTCCTTAATATGTCAAATCAAGGAAAGCATCTCTACTTCCTAATTATAAGTTATTTCTTGCATAGGAAATTAAATTTGTATCATCCACATTTAAAATTTAACCATAAGACTTCATAGGCGAAAAAAATGTTTTCTTCCTAACCTTAAACTCTCACAAACCTTAATATTACTGCAAGTGCAACACAAAAAGTTAAAATCAATATACATAATTGATGCTGTTGAGTAGAAATTTAAATAGAATAAAATTAGGTAGTATTTTTTTTAAAGTTAACATGCAGACTTACAAACACCGAAATGACATCCTATTAATGCCTCTGTCAGCTTACCATGGTTATTTTTCAGATTGCATACATGTAAAATCTTTAATATCAGGGGCATAAATTTGATATAACAGTTATTTTGCTTTCTCAAAGGTATATCACAGGCTTTGAGGTTAAAAATAAATGTATAAACGGGAGGTAAAAGATTTCAATTGGCACTAATGTACATTTTATCAGAAAGATAATAAAGAAAAGAACACATATGGAATTGATTAAATACAAAGAATATGAAATATTGATAGGGTTATTGTATTTCTATAAAGTTATCATCCTGCTGCTTGTAGATTATGTTAAAGAATGTAGACAAAGTATCTTTTAAATTTGCTATGGTATTGAGAATACGTTGGAATTCCCCGAAATAACATCTGTACAGGATAACTAACTCTCAAAATATTGATCATCAATTGATTGACTCTCCATTGTCAAGCTTCACAACAGAGTCGCCGATCAAGAAGCATGTTTGTTTAGCACTGTCCGCTTACCCTCGAGACATGCGAGGTGCATGTTAGTCGTAGTATAAAGATAATTAACTATTCAAGTCATTAAAATGTGGGTGCCAATACTAAAATGCAATAAAAAATTTTAGCGATTTTTAAAATGGCTAACCACTAAAAAAGAAGCTATTAGAAATAAAGAAAAACAATTTGAATTCTGATTCCCACTTACCATTTATTTTTTTTTAATGCGATATTCAAGTATTTAGGCTTGGAGGTTAAAAATAAATGTTGGTTCAAGATTTCAATCTGAAAAAGGAAATATTTCAATTTATCATATCTTTTTTTTAATAAGGGCCAAAGTTAAATCTACTGCCTGCAAAAAATTCATATGCTTAAGAATGTAGACGGTATAACAATTGTGTATACTGCAAGCAGAGAGTGGATTAATCTACCTCTTTAGCATCCCATGTTGACATCCTGACCCACTTTTTATTTTCTAGTAAATCCCTCACTTTACATAAACAGTCCTGCAATATAATCACATGCCCACTAGCGAAGTGCAAAGAGACTTTTTTCATAAAGCCAACAAATGGTAATGCAACAAAATATCTGTGAAAAACTGTTCTGAAAAAAGCTACAAATATCAAGTTAAAGTTGAGCTGGTCTTAATTTTAAAATGTTTTTGTTTTTGGCTTGTCCTACATTTGACTACAAGTTGAGTTTAGCCAATCACACAAGAAACACACTCACATATTCTGGCTTTTTGGATTTGTCTCCACCCCTGGCCACTGTTCTTTCCAATCCTCCTAGGCGATTGTTTAGATATTCCTGGTCTTTAAACATTAATTCCTCATGAATGATATCTAAGTCACGTGAGGGGTCAACATCTCCTTCTACGTGAACTATTTCTTCATCATCAAAGGCCCCTAGCAATGGAAAGGAAATGTTAAAAAAGAAACATACTCTGTTTCAGTATGTGCGACTTCTGCAAAGAAAATGAATGAAAACTGTTGGTGGCGGACGGACAGGCAGATGGACAGACAGACCAAGTGAAATGAAATTTGGTATTCAGATTTATCATAAAAATATCTAAGTCAATTTCTGCTTCGGGGATGTGATGATTTTTGAAAGAAGTAGACCCCTTGGACTCAGAAAAATTCTAATTAATTTCAGTTTCCATTCATTTCTTTGAGATTACCATACTGAAATAAAATTTGGTATGTATGTCTGTTCGGTTTCATCTCTTGTTTAAACAATGTTTGACAAAGTGGTCACACATCATCATAATTTTCTTTTACACATTAAAAAGGTAGCAGCTATGAACATCAAAGAATCTTTACAATTTTGAAATATTCATATTAGGTGCAAAAATTATACATTTCTTTATAGTCATGATTGAACTTTCTTCCATAAATTTCAAACAATAGTTTTCATATATACATAACTCAAAGTATATATAATATACTAAAAACATTAAAGTATAAACAATACATACTAACAACATGAAAGATCCCATCACAAGCACTTATGTTAGACAGAAAGGAATTTCCCAAGCCTTTTCCTTCGTGGGCACCTTTGACCAAGCCAGCAATGTCCACTACATTCAGGTAAGCAGGAACTTTACTACAATGATTAATTACACATGTATATTCAAACTTTACAGGATATTGTATGGCAAGCCTTGCAAATATACACTATTTCAACTTGCTTGATAAAGCAAATATCAAATCATACAGAATATAGATAGCTGCTAAATTATATATATTACATAAACAATAAATTTGTTTTCAGAAGTGTATAAATGAGAAAATTTTCTTGGATTTTTAACTTTCTTAAATAACTTCTGTACAAATATTTGAGATCTGTTTTTCATGTTTATATGTATTATCTTTCAATGGAAATCATATTCAAATATTGGGAAAATAATTCACTAATGCAAACCCCTGTATCTCTACATCTCCCTGATATTAATACAGATGTATAGGATTACCTGGCAGGTTTGTAGTGTTCACACAGGTGTTCAAATCTCTCATCAGGGACAGGAACACGACCTGACAAATGTACAAAGAAAAAAAATAATTGACAAAAGTTAATTGTTTAATTTTTACGTTTTGAAAATTCATTCCCTGTGCCTTCTACTTTTAACCTTCTATGAATTCAGAATAAGATTTTTAATTAATGATACTTTGATAAGAGGGATAACTCTAAACAGTATAAGTATTGTGTCCATATTTCAAAAAACTGTCAATTTAAAATATCTCTTTTGGAAAAGTTTCATCTTTCAATCAATAATGAAATTGTTTGCATTTTACTTATAAAATTAATTTCTTTTGGAAAGTCATAAGCTTTAAACCGACAATGCATATGATCAAACTGAGCCGATTATCAGCCTGGAATTATTTTCTCACTTTCATTTGGCTCAATGGTACAGAAGGGAAAATTTTCAGCCGTGGCAGCACTTTTTGTTAGCACATTGAAAAATGATGACTTCCTGGAAAAAAAAAATTAAAATAGGGGTAATGCTTACATTCATTATCAACACATCCAAAAGAAAAAAAAATATTTGTAAATATGTACAGTACCTGGCCATAAGTCTGTCATAATCAAAGGCCTGAAGGGCCACAATGGCGCCGTGCTTTAGATATGGCAGTGATACTGTGAAACTATTGGATTTCCAAGCATGTTTAAAAGTATGCATATGTCTACAGAATTATATAGCTTGGTTGTATATCTGGATGAAATACCCCGATTTAAGCATTTATGAAATAAAAGCATTCAACTCATATGGTCCAACTAAACGACTTGAGAACAGGTTTTTATGTGTAGAGTACCCAGGTAAAATAGTATAGGATTATACTTGCCAACACCCAAGATGTGAAAATCTGGTCATTTGTGTATTGATAATTCTATTTAAAAAAGGGTTTTCTGAATTAACTTACAATGACAAAAAATTATTGATTAAATGGACATGTTAAAAAAGAACATTGAGGATTTCATTGTCCAGCAATGACCTGAATTAAGTGTGCATTTAAAAAAACCTTTTCAGTTTGTGCTAACAGGGACTAGCTATATCATGTATATACTAATATATTGTTAACATGGTTAGCATATAGATCCCTGGTGCTAAATTTGAAAGTAATTCCAATTTTAGGGGATTTGAAATTACTTTTCCCCTCTCTTAGGCCTAATTAATTTAATTAACTAGTGCTATGTGTACTAAATGTACAGTAAGACCTACACTGTCTTTGATCACTTTATTTTATGTAATGAAAGTTGTTTTCCAAGATTCCTTGACATGTACATAAATATTGTTTCTCTTTCTCTTTGTTCAATTTGTTCCTGTTGGTCCTGATAACAATATTGTTCTATCACAAGCCATTTTAAATTTGTCAAAACAATCCCAGATAATTTTCACCTGCACTGATAATTTACTGGCCCACTGAACATAGCCATCGGCATTGTTTACGTAGATCAAGCTTGGGTTGTAACTGGAAGTTAAAAGTACAACCTAATTTACGAACCAAATCCGGAAATCGGGGAATCGGGCGATAAGCATGACCCGCTATGTCATAAAAAATAATCAGGTTAAGGGTCGAAAAGTAACCCGACAAAAGTGGGCGAGTTGGCAACAATGTATAGGACTGTTGAAACTGTATGATTTTCAAGCAATTTATGGAATAAACGCTAAAATTGGCATGTATATTCCTACGCCAGATACATGAAGGTCTTGGTTCGATTACTATATTATTTATAGTATTATTAAATATTATTGAAGAAAGCGGTGAACAGTCAGAGATTTCCTCATTGCTAGATGAGCGCCAAGCTAAAGTTCGACGCCATAAAAATGGCTGCCGAAATATCAAAATTCTGGAAGCCAATTTTTTTTTCTTTAGCGTTGGTAAATAGATCAATCTATACAAGCTGCTGCTGAATAGTTCCTTTCTATAGAGTGTATACATACAATAATTCTATGACGTCATTTTATAAAAGTGACGTAATATCTGTCAAATGTTTAGCAACTGACAAGATGGCTACTAAAGGTAAACAAATGTCTACCCCTATGAAAAATGCGATAATAACTATGTCTGAGAGTGGATATACCCAACAGGACATTGCAGCTATTCTTTCTGTGAGCCAGTCTGGGATTTCCAAGTTTCTCAAGCGATACAAGACGCGCGGATCCATTGAAAATAAGCATCGAAGCGGACGACCTAGAAAAACTGATGTGCGAGGAGATCGTAAGATACTTTGATGTGTGAAACTCAACAGACGGCAAACTTTGAGTGAAATAACTGATGAAGTGAACTCGAAGTTACCAAGTTCTATCTCTTCACGGACGGTAAGAAGACGTTTGCGATTTTTAAACTTTACAAGAAGGAAAACCAGGAAGACCCTGACAATTCGATCTGTAAACAGCACCCGCCGTGTAAATTGGTGTCGAGGGAAATTACATTGGACAGTGAATAATAATTGGAAAAAGGTGATTTTCAGCGACGAAACCCAGGTTGTTATTGACCAGAATAAGCGAGTTTACATCTGGAGAAGACCCAACGAAGTATGCCGACCCGAGTGTCTTGGCGTCCGTGGAAACGGAAAGTACTCGGCGATGTTTTGGGGGTGTATTACTCACGAAGGAATCGGAACATTTACAGAGGTAGATGGGAATATTAATTCCCAAAAATACATTAACATTTTAGATACAAATTTATGGCCAGTTATTTTGCGCCATTTCTCGAATGGTGACTATTTATTTCAGGATGATAATGCACCGGTCCACTCCTCTAACGCCACAAAACCATGGAAAACTGAAAACGATATTAAATGTCTTATTTGGCCATCACAATCTCCAGATATCAATATAATTGAAAACGTGTGGAGAACTATAAAAATACGTCTTCAGAGACAGGTACACAATATTCATAACCGTGAAGACCTCATCTTGAGAGTAAAGGAAATATGGCGGTCCTTGCCTCAGCACTACATTCAGAGCCTGTACGCTTCAATTCCAAGCGAATTCGACAAGTTATTAAATCTAAGGGTCATGCAACTAAATACTAGAGATGAAAGGGTAAGTGCTTAATATTTATAGATTTTTTTTTATTTTAGAATTTTGCGTTCACGTTGTTCACGTTACGTTACGTCAGCCATTTTATGACAGACTTCTGGCCAGGTACTGTATATAAATCATGTAATTACAACTTGTACAATGCAAATACATTACCCCACATTGGGTAAACCAACAATGCCTATTTTGAGGTTTGTCCCCATTCTTCCAATGAGAGGAGGGGGGCCTGTTGCCTCATCCTTCTTCTTTGGTGGCATGGTCAAATTTTAAGATTTCTGAAAATTAATGAATCAAGAGTCAAGACAACGTTTTTCTGAATCCACTCAAATTTTAAGTCTTTTTCTTTTGCTTACATGTAACAAAATCAGGCTTGTTACCAGCGTAATGGGATATCTGACAAGGGCACTGAAAGTTAATGTATTAAAATATCAGTATTTCATTCAAATGCATACACATACTCAATATTTACAACTTCCAGCGCCCATGGTATCTGAAAGATAACACTGCACATGTGCACATGTACGGACATCGAATGTACTTGTAGTCCAAAAAGTACAGGATAGTAGTAATGCAATACATTCGTTAATTATATAATGATGTAAATGTATACTTAATCAAAACATAGACTTGCT